AATTTGGAGTTTCCTTTTCCAGATTTTTTTTCATATTGCATTAAATACAGATCTGTACTATTTATATCGACCATAACCGTGGATAAAAGTAGAAAGCATGGGTAGTTTTGATTATAACTTTGCATTCTAAACAAAATATCAGAAATGTATATGTGTAGGCTTTCCACCCATGAATCACTTTTACATTATTCTTAGCTCTAGTGGTACTTTTTACCTCAGCTTGTAACCAATGAAAACGTTCATGGCTGAAGAAATAGCAAGATGATCCAAAATGATGCCATCCTGTTGCACATTCAGTGTTTCCCTTATCTGAAAGTATACATTTTATAACCAATTTCTAAAACCGTTACGGAAAACTTTCAAACATAAGAATAAGAGCAATGAAAAACCAATTAGATTTTTTAGGTTTGAAGTTACATTTAAAATAAATATACATGAAATAAATTTTGAAACTTTATAAACTGTTTTTGATCTTTGACAAACATTAACCTGTAATGGTCACTATTCAGGATTAAAGATAAACCTACATAATTACGCATGATCTATCTAAGTGGTATATTGATTGTAATTGTCAGTACTTTGGAACTGACATGATTTATAACAAACCTTTCTAAAATTGTCTGTTTATAAATTTTGAAATTATAAAGAAACTAAGGTTTCAATTCCCTCAGGCAAAGTTGACCTTAGATGGATTTGGCTATTTTTTGGGGTATTTTTTTTTGTCATATAGCTCTTCAACTGTTTCGGTTCTTATACATTCTCGGCTTTCAAATATTCAGCTTTGATCGTTCCTGATGAAGGTAAATCAAAAAGCGCTTCAGACGCATGAACTTATTTAACGTATTGTTTTGTTGTAGTATGTTAAGAGAACACTTTCCTTGTCTCTTGTTTAAAAGAATGTTGCTACAAGATTAAACTTAAATATTTATTAATTGGTCCAAGATCTATATTCATGTATGGAAATACACTTTTTGAGGTTGAGTATTTTATGAGTATGGCTTATTGTCATCTCCAATAAAAAATGGTAATTGCTTAAATCTCAATAATATATATATATTTTAATTATTCTGAGAGAATAATATGCATATGCATACAATGACTAGATGGTCTACATTTTTGTGACTAAAACTTTGTTCAAAATTTGTACATCTACCTTAGAATTCAAGTTTTTATCAAAATCACAAATCTTACGAAATTTGTTCTATTTATCGATCTATCGAGAAAATAAACCCATTATGTTAAACATATTTATATTTTGAACATACATACCAGGCAAAATCAGCAAAATCAGAAAAATCAGCAAGTAAAATACTTCAAACCGGTTCACAAACATTATTCCTATATATCCTAAGTACTTATCTGGACCTTGGTTAATTTCAAAGTGATACAAAAGCCTGATCAAAATTTTAATTAGTTTCTGATAGTCTGAAACTTTACACAGAAACATTTAGATATGGCACTATTTTCAGTATTGATTTAATCGCGAAAGATCTCAGATGAAAATCGCAAAACTTTGAAATGTCCAATGGTCACCTAACACATATATTGACTTTGGTTACCTCTGATTACCTTTCACAGAGATTGACTAGGGTTCACCCTGGTCACCTTACAATGATATTCTTGCACTTTCTGTTCGACGTACACATCAACTGTACCTCAAGTACAGACCGATTGAATCTACATACAACCAACCCCGATGAATACTAATGTGTGTTACCATTAAAACTTTTAAAAGGCTTTGTCTACTTGAGGTACACATTAACTGCACCTCAAGTACAGACCGATTGAATCTACATACAACTAACCCTGATGAATACTAATGTGTGTTAGCTATTGAAACATTCGAAAGGATTTGTGTACTTGAGATACACATCAACTGAACCTCAAGTACAGACCAATTCAATCTACATACACCCAAATATAATAAATATTAATGTATATTACCATCAACACTTTGGACAGTCTTTGTCTACATGCAGTACACATCATTTGTACCTCAAGTACACACCAATTCAATTTTCATACACTCGAAACTTAATGAACAGGAATGTCTATTACCAACAACAATTTTGCCAGGTTTTTGCTACTAGACTTAAAAATCAACCGAATCTCAAGTACAGACCAACTACGTTTACATAAACCAAAACCTAAGGAACATTAATATGTATTACAATCAAAACATTCGACAGGCTTTGTCTACTCGACGTACACATCAACTGTACCTCAAGTACATTGATATCCCCTTCTCCATGAGGAAGAGGCTGTACTGTGTTCTGATAGGCGTATGTACTGTATGCACGTATGAACGTCTGTTTGTAATGTCCGTGATTATCTTCCCAACCTTTAATCTTAGAATTTTTTAACTGTACACGATGTCAAAACCATATAGCTTGTGTCGTATTTTTTGGCGGAAGTATAATATTTGCTTATAAGGGCAGAATTATGGTTAAAAACGAATTTCGTGACACCCAGTCGTTTTGTTAAAAAAATATAGAAAAGAGAGATGTGATATGATTACAAATGAGACAGTTTTTAAACAGAAATGAAAAGGAAGATTATTTTAGCAACTACAGTCTATAACCATACGACCTACAACAATGAGCATAACCGATATCAATACAATTCAAAAGTGGAAACCAACGGACTGATTTATCTACATAGGATAGAAAGTTGGAAGTTGAACCAAAAGTCACATAACATTTGCAAACATGACCAAATTGGTATCCTAATTTTCATTTTACAAAATCAATACGCGTCTTTACGTAACAATCAAACTTTGTAAGTCGGCCATGCATATTGACACAAAACTTAACCAATAGAAACTTTAGGAATAAGTTACTTTTTGGTGATCTTGTAAAATATATCCATAAAGGGACATTTAAACAACATCAGTTGGAAATTAAATAAAACAACGTTGTGACCGTTTCAGTATTAAGAATTATGCGATGCAGTGTCTTTGAATTGAATGCTGTCTGCTACAAGATTGGAAGATATAATCACTGACGCTGATTGGTTGAGACAATTTGAAACCTTCTAAATGCCTTTCAATCCCACAGGGTATCGGTTTTAAACTCTTTATTTTTTGTACTTTCTATATTTCAACAAAACTTTACTGTCCCGAATTTAAAGGTTTTTTGTATTATATTGTGTTAAATATGACAGCAGTATGTATTTAATTTTAAACTTGTGTAAGTAATATGTTCAATAGAAGACAAAGTATTGGAAAAAAAAACAATAAAAAAATTGATTTACTTATTTTCCTTTTATAAATAAAATTTCAATATACCCATTAGTGTACAAAAAAAGGGTTTCTTTTGGCGTCATAATAACATATTCCCATGGACATGTATATATCTATTCTTCAACAGACATTTAACACCATTCATCTCAATCTTAGTTTAATCATAAAGAAAGAGAGTAAAAAAGGATCTATGGGATATTATGCGCGTAACATTCTTTATTTTATTTTTTTATTTTTTGTCAGAACTCCGTCAGAAAATTTACATATTACACATTACCTCCCTTCTCTATACATGTATCAGGTTTTTATCAATTCAAATTAAATTTTAAGGTGCAAAAAGGCTTTCACCCCCCAACAAACATTTGATTTGTGTGCAAATGTTCAATAACAATGTGTGTGTTATTTTTATGCATCCATGTAGTAAACACTTACCATTTTCAAATATAGCAAAGAGACGGGTAGCTTTTTGAAAAAGCTAAAACTTGTCATACTGTACGATTTACTAAGAGGTAACAGAAAAGTTTATCGTGGTTCCAAACTCGTGAATCCATTTTGAAAATACAAATCAATTAAAGAAGATTAAAACCTGAGAGAATTGTTCTCCTGGACTCCAAACCAAACAAGACCTGGTTCGTCGACAGGTATGCATACATTATTTTTTTACTATAGAGAATAGGACGCAAGCGAAAAATCTACATAACCGACGACTATTTTGGTTTCGTTCAAATCTATGACCGCCAAAACATGTCTCGATCTTGTTTGACACAGACCCATCTTATTGATCAACTAATTTGTAATGTTGACCGTAAAACTTACGAAGAGTCGATTTCAGTCTACCTTCCTCACAACTCTGCTGGAGGAGTCTTTGCGTTAAGGATGTTCGCTACTCTGCTTCAAAAAAACAAGCTCTCTAAAAGACTGTTATAAATTGAAAGTATATGAATAAAGGAACTAAAAAAGCTGAAAATATTGAAGGGTCCGTGTGCTTGTTTTCGAGATATAAGCCATTGAAAATTTGGCGGGAAGTGATTCTCTCTAGATTTTTCATACATTTAACATTGGCAGCTTTTTTCTTTCTAAAACTATTAAAAAATAACAAGGATTTTATAAGATTTTCAAATATAGCTTTTTTAACTATATTTAACAAAATTATAAAAAGAAAAGTAGGGGTTAACGGGCAAAATATTTATTGGCATGACATGGATAAAACTAGAGGATTCCGAATATCTGACAAAAACTCAAAAACAAGAGGAGCGAACGTCCTTAAGAGCACACATCGATTTTATTCGTTTTTTATATAAATATGCATGTTTCGGGCATCAGTCTTAGTACCTAGTTGTGTCTGCTGAGATTGATTATTTGAGGAATTCATTTTGTACAGACCTCTTTAAATCATAAAGATTTTCGTACCGCTTAGTCAAAAACAAAATAAAAACATCTTATTCAAAGGTACCGAAATCTATGACATGATCGAACAGTATATATAGAAACAATGGTTTGATAAAATATTTATCCAATAAGATTTAATAGGAAATATAACACGCCTAAATTTCGAATTACAGATTCGAACATTAAACTTTGTTTACACAATGCTACACTTTTGAACACTATATAAATGGGTGTGAAGTTACAATAATTATGCACACAGAATGTTATTAAGAAAATTGTGAGTTTGATGTTGATTGCAACTCGTTGGTTGAGTTGATAAATGTGGCATTTCTTCGGAATTAGAATACAAGTTTGATAAACTATTTGTGCAGTAAAATTTAATTGCAAAACAACTTGTGTGTACATTGGCATTTGATTATCCTACTATTTCAGAATTATCTCCAGGATACCTACAAAAGAAAAGTATCATAGTTCACCAAAATATATGATTGACTGATTGTTGGTTGCTTAACGTCCAGTAGAAAATGTTTCGTGCATGTGCATGTCAAGTAATTAAAAATGAAATTTATTATGTAGGTCCTGTAATAAAGATTGTCTGGGATGAGGTTCTCGAAACTTTGGACTGAATCTTGAAAATGAGGGTATATTGGATAGGGACATCATTTTGCTTATCAAGAGACCACCTACGGACCACTATAAGAGTTGTTGCAAGGGTTCTTAACCTGCAAAGAGAGTGACACTCTCTTTAAACGAGACATCGGATTTAACTATCTCATTCTGACAATGCTGGCGTGCGTACTTATACACTTTGGCAAGGGTTTTACTGTCGGTCGGAAGATGACCTAAGTGACCATATTTATATTCCCAAGTCTCCCTTGGATCCCAACATATATGAAGTAAAGATATAAATTAAAAGTAAAGCCCTGTAATTCATTTTTTACAGTTTCTATATTGTATAATAAGATCAGGTTTGTCAGCTTGTGGTGTAATTTTTGCAACCAATAACATAATTATGTGGAATACATCAGACATATTACACGTTACATGTGACACTATAATATTATCTTATATTTCTAGATTTCAAAAGCAAACAAAGACATTAAAATAATTGTATAATGTATCCTGCCAGTGGATTGAACCTATGATATACCACTAAACAACGTAATATGTTTTAGCTGATCAATTCATTTGCAGAATCTTAATCTTTTTTGTATCATATATAATTATTCAAAAAACATTTCCCTTACAATAACTAAAATTGTGACGTGGTCGAATTAGTTTATCATAGTTATATTGATATAGGAAAAAATTTAACAAACATGAATGAAATATGGATATCAGTGAACGAATAAATATACTGACTCTTTTTCACAAATAAATCTGTTCTTCTGTGTACAAGGGTAATCATTCCATTGCAGGCCTTCTGCAGAATACATGTGTAAGCAGTTCTCTGCTCGAACCCCATTCGGTTCTCCTGGGAACCAGTTTGTATATGTTACGACCTCATCTGTCGATGCCCAGATCCAAGTCCCTTCAATTATATCATCTCGTGCACCCAACCAATAACTTTGTCCTAGAATAACATATAAAAATGAAATATGCAGAGAAAATATATTATTTTAGAAAATTTATAGAAAATAAACCATGTCAAACTTGATTTGGATTAAATATTTTCTTGAACATTTTCATTCAATGTGCATGTAAATATAAATTAGATTTGGGAAAAGAAACTATGTTAAAAAATTTCAAATATTTTTTGAAGTCATGACACATGTGCTTTTGTTTATATATAAAATTTAGAATGGAAACGGGGAATGTGTCAAAGAAACAACAACCCGACCAAAGAGCAGAAAGCAGCACAAGGCCACCAATTTATATATATATTATATTTGAATGGTTACGAAAATGACATACCTGGTCCGACAGCTATTGACATATTTATCAGATAGTCTGACTGTGCTTTGCTTTGGACTTCAGCCAGACGAGAATTATGTGCACGACAACTGCTCTGTAAAGTAAAAGAAATCAACACATTTCATTTGGAATTAATTAGAGTCAGTTAATCTTAAAACCTACTCATGTACATATTAAGTTTTAATAAATAAATCTTTGATTAGAGATTAATACAATGTATAAAAAAATTTAGATGTGATATGATTGCAAACAAGACAACAGTTATTTCGTAGTGCATTTCTTTTGGACAATAAATGCAAATTAATAAAAAAAATCGCACCTGCTCTATCCAATAAAGATTTATGCGGTGTATTGTACTACATTTGGGACAAATTATATCAAAATTATATAAAAGTCTATCAGCTGTAACTCAAAATATTAAAACAAAATGTTAAGGGGGTCTACAATTCATTTTGACAGCTTTATACATACAATGTACTAATTTTTGACAACTGGACAAAATCACTTCTTTCCCTAAAAATGCATGTAATTTCATTCCCCTGCTTACTAATTATGCATAAAATATAAAGAAATAAATTTAGATGTGATTGAAAAAAAATTGCAAGTTATACACTGTCCACTTTAGGGACTATATTTGCAAGACAACGAAAATCAAAGGACGATAACTGTGTCCCCGTACCAACTATCGTCGAAAGGACATGAATGTTTGCTTCATATTTAATTTTGTACAGTATGATTTTCACTTGTTTTCTTTCAATATTCTATAAGACTTAAAAATGATTACAATAATCAACAAAAATATTGTACAGTAAATATACCACATCAACCATCGATTCCTTACTCCTACGAAAAGAAGGGCGTTAAAACAAAGACAACAGTAACGAAAAACTCATGATCTAGTTGATTAAAAAGGGGGGGGGGGGGTTACCACTTTGAATAAATTAGATTTAGCTCGTTTAATTTTTATAAAATTTTGACCAAATATTTTCTTTGACCTGTTGACAAACTATAAAAATTTCAAGAAATTTGAACCACACAATTTACAGGATTTTTTTCATTTAATTTATAGCAGTTTGACAAACACTTATTTTGATCATTGAGAAGCTTGATTTCTCTTTACTAATAGTATGCGATTAAAACGTTCAGCTTATTTTTAAAGAGTTACTCACTAAGGTGTTCTGTACCCTTTAAATTAACAAAAATATCTACCTCAGCATCTAACCAATTAAAGTCTTCAGTACTAAAGAAAAAACAAGAGGTTCCATAATGATGCCAGCCTAACGGGCATTCGGTTTTGACTATATCTGAAAGTAAGAAGAGAGGAAACAAATTGTGTACAAGTAAATGTGTTGTGTTTGATATACATATATTAAAACTAAAGGCAACACTTAATCTTGTCAATTTTAGGCATGTGTTTATGTTAGATATAGAATGTGTTAAAAACAGCTTTTCGACTGAATTTTTCAAGAAATCGTATATAAGCGCTTTTCGTATGGTTGTAGATGTAGATTTACAAAGGTTTGACCACATAATACTTGAGGAAAACGTCAAGAGTACAAAGTCCAAAAATAGGCCTACAGTTGGTTATTTGTTTGTTGTCGCTGTCATTGCATTTCTAATTTTATCTCTTTATTCAGACTTTGATAACTTATTTTATCATTCTTTGAAATAAAACTGAAAAATTTGCTTATAATTTTCACAAGATACAAATTTAAATAAGAAATCTCACCCGAATACGTCAGAAATAGTATTACGGAAGACAAAAACAATGAAGTCGTTAACATGTCTCGTATTGCAGTTCACAATTTCTTATCTTTAAATTGTGAGTGATAGTACATATAAGTGCAATGTATAATTCTATAAAGTGATATTAAATAGATAAACTGATTGATAATGTCGCGATTTAAAGAAGTAGACAGCAGAACTGAACAAGATAACATTTTCGAATGGCTAAAAACGATTTCAAGAAACGATGGTAAATAATTTACAAAAAGAACCATTTTAAGCCGAATGGTTTTTAGAATAGTTACTAGTTAGAGCAAAATTATAGCAATTGAATTATAAACTAGACTAAGTTAAACAAGTGTATTTTTTCCTTACTTTAATGCAATGAAAAAGGTATGATACGGCCATTTTTTTTAGCCCTCTCCCCCTAAATTCGAAAATCAAACTTTATTATAAATGTTCCAAATAACAGACCTTAGATATTTAATAGACATGTAATTTTTAATCATCATTTCTTCAATCGGTTTGAACTCTATTTTTCAAATTAATTTTTTTAGGGCTACAAACCTCTTACATTTTGTGCTAAACTGACTCATATAATTATATTTATACCAAAAACTAGGACGTGTAAAATTACAATTTTAGAAAAAGTAAGGTAATTTTGGCATGTGTATGACGTCAATATCATAGAGTAACCTTTCTGTCCAAGAGTGTCATTATTATATCAGTCTTTTCCTAAACTTAGCAATAGAATTAATATGTACTTTTGACATGCTGTCAGTGAGTAATTTTACTACTTTTGCAATTTGAGGGACTAAATAATGACTCTTTTTATACATCCTCCAAACTTTAAATTTACCCATGTTATTTAATTACATGACCTTAGTTTTCAGGAAATAAAAAAAAAAATCTCATTTGAAAAGTTACTATAGCAACATTCAACGACGAAAGTAAAATAGTTGAATAAATTCTTAATTTTTATTAAATTTGTGGGTAGATATATTGAAAAAAAAGTTACTAGATATTATATATATATATATATATGAAAACTTCTCTAAAAATGTAGTTATGTTGCTGTGTCCAATGGAAATTCACCAAAGACGTGAGGGTCTGCATTGGTTCTTAATGTTTAGGGCAGTTTTCTTTATCTTCAAACATATCGCTTATTCTGTAAAATTCTCATGATCAGAAAATGATTGTACTATTAAATTGTCGTATAATTTAGCGATTTCTTTATTCTGTACATCGTTTATTACTGTAATCAGTATTTTATTATTACCGAATTCTTTTATTTTACACAGTTATTCTTTATATCTTGTTGATATTGTTTGTTTTTATTTTGTTATGTTGTGTCACATGCTATAAATGTATGGTGTAATGGCAATAAAGATGTGAATTGAATTGAATTTATACTTTTGTACCCTGTTATTTTCTATTCTTCATATTTCTCGCTCATTTAACTCTTCATAATGTTTTTTTGTCGTTATTTTCTATTCTGCAAACCCAATCCAGACCATCAGAAATTGTCATAGAAAGCTGTTGTATTTTTACACTTTCGTGAAATATGCATATACTGAAATATGAAATATGTCGTTTGTTGCTGTATATCATATTTGCTTTTCGTTCATTGTTTTGTATATAAATCAGGCCGTTAGTTTTCTCGTTTGTTTTACATTTGTCATTTCGGGGACATTTATAGCCGACTATGATCATGGGTTTTGCTCATTATTGAAGGTCATTAGGTGATTTAAAGTTTTTAACTTCTATGTCGTTTGGTCTCCGGTGGAGTGTTGTCTCATTGGCAATTATACCACATCTTCTTATTTTTATATATGTTCCGGACCATATGAGTATTTAGACCATACGCGTATGGTCATGATCATATGCGTATACTCATATGGTCCGACCATACGCGTATGGCCGGACCATATGAGTATATACTCGTATGGTTATTAACTGGCCGGACCATATGAGTATTTAAACCGGATAAATTTTAACTTCCTTCGCAGGAACACACAGCTCATTCTCCGAACCAAATGGGCACAATTTACTTACCGAAATCTTTTGCCTTTGACATATTGCCAAATCCGTGTGTATCTGTTGCATTCGCTAGATATAGAATAACATATGGCAAAATCCGTATCGCATGCTGTATCACCACGAGAAACCAATATCAGTCCCGAGGGCTGATATTGGTCGAGTGGTGATACAGCATGCGATACGGATTTTGTCATGTATAATTCTGTTTATCATATATTTAAATAGAATCAGATTAATGTGATATACGTTTTTTTTTTTGAAATCGTCCGGAAATAAAACAAACAAAAGAACATAAGGATTTTCCTGTATTTTTCCGGCTGACTTAGTTTTTTTTATAGACTTCCTTATTTGCTTAATATCCACATCGTAATGTCCCCTACAACCTTATTACATGCTCAATATAGAGCTATGAAACTGGCAAATAATATACTTTTAGACCATTTATTTAAAAACATTCACTAACAATAGTGTCAACTGTTCCCTCCTGTAGAATACAACCCACCTTCCCAATATTTGTTGTTAAGTTTAATCATTATACTACAGTCTGAACTCATTTGTATACATAAATATGGACAACAATGTAACCAAGTATCATCTACTCAAAGATTATTAACAGACAAACAGGGGATTCCTATATACACAGTCATTGGACAAAAGTGAGTTCCCACTAAAAAACTTATTGTATCTATTTTATAAAAATCGCTTATAAAGTTACTGGGTAATATTTTTTTTGAAAAATATCGATTTTAGTTGAAATGATATGACATTTCTTGAGTGGGAACTCACTTTTTTCCTATGCCAGGAAATACAGCAACTGGACGTCATAGGTCAAACATTGACGTCATTTGATTTATGACACCACGCCAGGTATGCGATACGGATTTAGCTATGCGATACGGGTTTATCTATGCGATACGGGGTATGCGATACAGGGTAGGTGATACAGACTGGAAAAAAGAACCTTTATTAGATATACAAAATTGCTGTATTTTGTACTAAACATATGATAAAGTCAAATAAAGCGCCTTTGTCCTGTCGACTCTTTCGTCTGTAAGTGAAACAACAGACCTTAGGCGGATGGACCTTTTTTTTCCCGGTATTAAGATTAGTTTTTTTAGTTTTTTTTTTCTTCTGATTTTTACTTATTTTCACTTACATGATGTGTTCTTGCTCTTATTCATTTACGATCTTATAAATAATAATAGTAGTTTATACGTGCTTGCCCATATCCTTATTTTCCAAGAATTCCCTTTACTTCATTAATCATGTAACAATAATTACCATATGATTAAATATGTCAACGTTCATCGTATTAATTACCTGGACCATACGCGTATGGTCAGACCATACGAGTATATACGCAAATGGTCCAAATACTCATATGGTGCGGAACATATATACTTAATAAATACGGTATGACGTAATTACATGTACACCTTCATAACCATGATTGTAAATGTTGTCTAGTTCATTTATATTCCTCGATTATATATATCAATATGATTAAATTTGAAGTAGTTTTCAAAAACTTCATTAATGTGACTGCATCCTTTCGTGTGTCCAAAGAGTTTTTCTGGTTTTACCTTCATGAACCAAAACTTTGAAATCCAAGATGAATTTCGAAGCAAGCCTTTAATGATAATATTATTTGGAAAGCAAAGAACGATAAAAGTCCTTTAAATATTTTTCTTCAACCTTAATGTCCTTAATTGTACTATACATGAAGCATCTACACATATGCATCTTAAAAGAAAGTTTGAAGTTACACGCTTCGCATGTTGCTAGTTTTAAACACAACTAAAAGGTTTCAATTTATTTGGTTTTCTGTACAATCATGCACACATATCTAGCTTAGTTATTGGACATGATTGTGATCTACTACACTACATATGACGTTGCTATTTGACATGGAAGTACAGCTGCTGATAGTACAGTCTAAGAGATCGTGCCTTTAGCATATTGAGTCCTTAAAGTTTGACTATGCATTCAGTAAGTTCAAGCAATCACCGGTTATATAAATATTACTGTAACCTGTGTTTCTGTCTGTCTGTTTAGGGCTGCACTTATTTGATCAAATTAAAGCGGAGGCGGGGTTTTAAAATTACGTCAATAAGACAATTCATTAACATGTTTGAGAGTCAGTGGACTAACTGGAATTCAGGATTCTTAACCATACTAAGAACATTTGACCTTTTTGAAACCATGTATTGTAATAAACAGCTAGGGACTTTAACATGTTGATTTTGAACTTTATTCTTAGATAAAGGGGCGATTCACAGTTTCTAGAATTGGTTTGTAACAGATTCCACATATAACTTAGTCTAGACAAATGAGAGGTGAATAATCGTAGAAACTTTGTTTAGATATGTTTTTCTAATATGTTCCATTTGTAGCAGCTACGTGTAATAGGTAAAATAACAAAAATATTAAATTCCAAGGAAAATTCAAAACGGAAAGTCCTTTGTCAAATGGCAAAATCAAAAGGTCAAACACATCAAACGAATGGAAAACAACATGTCATATTCCTGACTTGATACAGTCATTTTTTATGTGGAAAATGGTGGATTAAACCTGGTTTTATAGCTAGCTAAACCTATCACTTGTATGACAGTCGCATAGAATTCCATTATATCGACAACAATGTGTGAGCACAACAAACAGACATAATACGTAAAAATGTCAAACATTGGGATACAGCAGTCAACAATGTACGTTCCCGACCTCAATGAATAGGCCAAGACATAACTGCATTAGATTTATCATCATATTTGATATTTGTTTACAATACGCACGCCAGTTTAATTTTTTTGGCGTTTGTTTTCAAAATTAAGCCATAGTGAAATTTCAAAATATTATAAATAACATTGTGCTATACAATTCATATTTTTTTTAGCTTGAGACGAATAATGCTTTAAAGGGGGTGTCTAAAGGCCTCTTTATCTTTGACGGTTAAATTGTCATATCAATATCCGACATACGCCCAGAAATTACAATAATGTCGATTTCCGTCTTTATTTTTTATTATTTCTTTAATGCACACAAACTGTGATGCTAGAGTCTATTTTCCATTTACCAACTGTGTTACCAATTCAAAGAAGTGTGTTTTTCACAGAGAAATGTCTCCTAGGTAGGTTACAATATCCGTCAACAGGGTGTCTCATATCAAGCGCAGTCTTAGAAAGCCAAGAAAAGAGGATTGTAACGTCTTTCTTTTTATTTTTGACAATGTCTGCGAGTCTTTTCACAAAAAATCTAAAGAGTAAAATTACTCGTAAGTCATACACATACGATCAATTTTAATCATAAGATTTTTTGTGAAAAGAGTCGCTATATCGTATCTCCTATTCATTGTTTGTATTGACCCTTTGGTATATTCATACCACAACAAACTCCTCGTAGTTATTAATTTATCTCTTTTTCTGAGGTCGAACGCACGCGCGATGATATTGATACAGGACTTCCGTTCGATTGTGATGATATTGTATTAGACTGGTTCCCGATCGCAATATTCAGTATGTTACACATATACAAATATAACAGTGTGGCTATTAGCTAATACCTGGAACGTAGTACCGGGAATCAGGATAATATTGTTTAACCATACAACCCAGTCGACTTTACACAAAACCACTGGCGGATCCAAGGGGTGGGGGGGGGGGGGGGGGGGGGGGGGGGTGGGGGGTCCGGGAGTTAGAACCCCCTTTTTTTGACGATGAATGCATTTGAACGGGGACATATAGTTGGAACCCCACCCCCTTTATCCTGGGTTGGGACCCCCCCCCCTCCCTTTTAAAAATGGTTGGATCCGCCCCTTAAAACAACTACTATTGTACATGTTGAAGGTCCTTTTTGGTCAAATAGCTCCAAACGTTTCTACGTATGTATAAATTGCTGTTTAGGTTTTAGCATTCTATTCAAAAAAGCGCTGGATACACAAAATGTGTCAAGTGTTATATTTATTTAGGAGATGATTGCTTATAGCGATGTGTCAATTGTGAAGTCAAGATTGTTCACAATAAAATTGAGAATGGAAATGGGGAATGTGTCAATGAAATAACAATCCGACCAAAGAGCAGAAAACAGTCGAAGTCCACCAATGGGTCTTCAACGCAGCGAGATAATCCTGCACCCAAAAGCGGGCTTCAGCTGGCCCCTAAACAAAAATGTGCACTAGTTCAATGAAAATGGACGACACACTAAATACATGTACATTGACATGGTTTATCACTATGTAGGTGAACATTGTTAATATTACTTTCAAAGATCTTTGGAAATAAAATGATAAAGCCTTATTACACATAAAATCTTTAAAAGCAAAGTAACATATAAAACTAAAAAAAAATAAGCGATTGCCGTAGAAAATAATGCTTCTTAATCGTGCATGGATTTAGAAAGTGAACAAATTATAGTTAAAGATACTTCACAATCTTCAAATTGTAAATCGATTCTGTACATAAATAGAAGACATAATGACTAATCGCAACCTTCCATCGTAGATACAAATACTAAAGAGTTTTATCCCCTCTTTCTCAATATAATCTAATATCATTCAATTCCACAATTTAATTTTAATTTCCCCCCCGTAAATTTGAATTTCAAATTTGAATTCCTTTCTCATATTTGTTCCTATCATTATTTCATGGAGTATTCTTGAAAGGTCATTTCGGTCATTTAAGAGGTCAACACAATTTTGCGTATGAATAATTAGGTAATGTTTTTCATATTTTGCTTCAAAGTAAATAGTGTTTTGATATTTTACTCAGACTCAACAAAAACGTTTTAACCGAATCAGTACAGCGTGTAGTGTGTAACCTATAATTGATTTTCTATTTCATTGACGCATTCGACCAAAACGTGGTGACACTATTGATTGCAATCAAATGCAAAGCAAACTATTTCTGGAAATCTTCATTAGTTACATAGCTGCTTGATGGCTAAAGTTTGCGACGACAAATACAAATCAAGAACATGTGAGCATGAACACAAAATGACCTCTATAGAACTTTAAAAATGAAAACAACACGTTATAAATTTCATGCATCCGAAGGGCTTTTCTGGATTCACCTCCATTAGGAACGCTCAAAGACGAATATTTGAAAGCCAAAGATGAACAAGGACCAATAGAGCTATATGACCAAAAAAGACATTAATGAACAGCCAAATCCATCTTAAATCAACTTTGCTCGAAGGAGTTGAAACTTAATTTCTTTATAATTTAAAAATTTAAAAACGGACTATTTAAGAAATGTTTTTTTTATAGATCATGCCAGTAAAGTATATAAACTTTTCAAGCATCATACTACACTCTCCAAAGTACTGAAATTGTTTATGTATAGTGTGCAACCAGTTAGTTAGTTCTCTATTTTATTGACTCATTTGAATTGTAATTAGATGTCATTATCCTATTATTGGAGAACTAGTTGTACTTTCAGGATATCTAAAAAATTAAAACAAAAGAAAGTGTTATAATATTAATAGGTAAATATAAAATATGCGAATTATATTATGGAAATATTTATTGGTATTTCTGGAAATCTTGCACTTTTTGAAGTTCTCCAGACTGGTCTGTTTTACGGTTGACCTAGTGATGTAAGCAATAACATTAACGGTACCAATTTTACTGCACCAGATGCGTATTTCGACAATTAATATCTCTTCAGTGAAGCTCGAGGCAAAAATATTTGAAATCCAAAACTTATTCAATAAAGAGCTGCGCCTTGAACGCATGATACGCCCGTATATTATTCAAAGAATAAAGTTCCATAACTACTCAATGTCATATCAGAAATTTATAAAAAAAACTAAAGGGAGGTTATTTTGATAAATATAAACCAGTCACCAAAGTTTCATGAAAACTGCTCAAAGCACTTTTGACTTATTGTCCGAAAACTGGAAAATCCCCCTTTTTAATGAATAAAGCCCCATAACTAAGAAACGTAAAATTTAAAATTTATAAAAATCGAAAGGGAGCTCACGTTATTAGATATAAACATTTCACCAAAATTTCATGGAAACTGCTCAAAGCATTTTTGAATCATTGTCCGAAAACTGGAAAATCACCGTTTTTTATTGAATAACACCCCATAACTCGGAAATGTAAAATCTAAAATTTATAAAAATCGAAAGGGAGCTCACTTCAATAGATATTAATTCACCAAAGTTTCATGCAAATCGTTTTTGAGATAATTGTCCGACATGTTGACGACGGACGGACAGACAGACGGACGGACAACGGTATACCATAATACGTTCCGTAAACGGTCGTATACAAATTGAAGACCTGATAGAACCAAATAGGACAAAAAGTATAGCCAAAGTCGAGGGTTCTAGCCATTTCCTATCTTATTTTAATATATAGAATAGTCTATGTATGCCAATTATTAAACTAAAATGTAGTATTAAAAGTACGAAAAAAAAAGTTCGATATAAGTCAATGAGACAGCAACCTAACGACAATAATAACAAACGACATCTAGAGAGCAACATACAGTAATCGTATCGGGCAACCAACTTGTGATTTCATGAGATGAAAAATCTAAATATCTAAATGTAATTCTTTTATATAGATTAAATGATTTTTTTAGAAATCGACAAAATTTACCTAACATTACGTCATAGGTTCTCATTCTATACTTCAAAACAACCTGATTATTAACTTACATTTTTTCACATATGTATCTGTCTGGAGTGGTACAAGATTCATCCTGCCATTTCATATTAAAAGCAGCGTGCATGTGTAAACAATCCTGATTTCCTAAGTAGTTATTCGGTTGTTCTGGGTACCAATCTGTATATGTGAAAAATTCATCTGTGGATGACCACATCCATGTACCTTCAACGACATCGTCTCTTCCACCTAACCAGTAATTATGATCTGCAATATAGATGTATTTTAAAATGGAATACTTCAATAGAATTTGTAAATGTAAAAAACATAAAAATATGTAGTGAATATACCATTATTTACATATCAGAGCGTATTGGTTAACGAAAAAGAGAGGCGAAATATACCAAAGGGATATCCAAACTCATACATGTAAGTCGAAAATAAAACTTTGGATATTCAAAACAGGCAATTCATATCTGAGAAACAGGCAACATACCTCCTTTCTAGATTTTATTCATAAATGTTTCGTTATTCAAAGTTATCAGCCAAAAGGTGTTCTACAAGGATCACCAGTTTTTAATTAGTGTTTCATTTGATACCTAAATTGCCGATATATATTCTACATAGTTTGATATCTACACCTATGCTTGGGAACTATTTTGTTTTGAATAGGTAGTTAATTTACGGTATTGCCCGAATTGGTGGTGTTACATCTTACAAAGTCTAACCGAATTTTTTGCCCGTTACATACGTTATTTCCTTCCAAGTTATCTAACATATATCTCGATGTGCCCCGTGGCGATCTAAATGTTTGTATTGTCTTTGCACACGTAGGGGTGATTGTCGGGCTAAATAATAACAGTAAATGTTTGATTTCTTTGCCAGATTAATTCTATTGGTATTACTCCATGGCTTTGTTCTTCAATTCACAGTTGTGGCGTGATCGTCATTTTGCAAAGATTTCCTCTCAAACTGGTGCTAGGGGCCGTCTTAAACTTGCAAATGAGGTGAGAGTTTTTGCTCCGTGATGAAGGCCTCACTCCTCATTGTGACTTTGAGATGAAGAACAGCAATAAAAGCGCTGTTCCTTTGATTTTTGTGTTTGCTGTGCATTTACTGATTTTGAGTCATAGATGGATACCCCATATCCTTTCTTTTCTATTAAATATGGTATTATTGCCAATAAGACAATCAAACATTAAATATTTAAGTATAAAGATATGAACAATTACAGTTCACCTCACGACCTTCGACAATTACATGTATTTATTTTAGTTAAACCCATTTCGTATGGTAAGCTATAAAAGTCACAGTTATGACAAAATGTGCGTTTACCGTTAATAGTAAATAAAAACCTTTTAGACAAATTTGAATATATTTAATCTGAATTATAAATAATGTTATTTTTTTCATTACAATTACAATTCCCATAATGCAAGAAGTAAGAAACCAGCATTTTAGGTTCAAATTTTTAATGAAATAAATGTTTTCTTATACGCTGATTTTCTCTAAAGATCTGAAATGTAGAATAACCAAATAAATCACTAAAATGAAAAGACAAAAGAGTACTTAAACATGAAGAATGCAAAATTAAATCACTATTAAACATATATGTGTATATCTACACTCTAGATACACGAGATAGATTTACATGCAACCAAATCAGGATTGTATAATACTCATAAATATTCATTTCAGAAAAATTTTGTTGGCAAAAATTACTGGTATGGCGGCTTCGTAATCAAGCATACTATACTAGGTTCTTACAATTTGTTTTCTTTACTACACGTGTACTTCTTGATCAAATATTGATTTATTTCCAACGAATTCGAAATGTTTATTTGAAAGATAAAAAATAATATTCACGTTCAGTTTCCATTGGTTGTCTAAGAGAATGTCAACTATACCGTATAGTTATTAATATGATAAATTTGTTTTAATATATCTAGTACTGACGGATTGTACTGGAAACGCTATTTTAACAAAATTACACATTAAAAAAACATAAACCATCAGTATGAAAGTGGTTAAATATTTTTTGTTCTTTCTTATTCTACTTTACCATAATCACAATGCCAAGCCTTGACTGGAGTTTAGACATACACAAATATAAATGCTCATCAATGGACTCCAATCTGCCAGTAAAACTTATCCGTTTGGCTTTGCATTCTGTATAAATACGCAGACACATCCTGTCAGAAGGGTGACGTTTAATTCAATGTATCTTGTATAGAGCCACGTTTTCTGCAAGAGATTCCTTCTAACGAACTTTTTAGGGGTTCGTAATTGGCCTGTTGCAAGGCCAAACTGTCACTATCCAACGTGTCCTAATTTTCCAGTGCCAGTCAAAATTCCCGCTGTTCGTCTTGATCAACCAAACAACCTTCTTTTCGATTTTTTGTTAACTCGTTCTCGTCCTGATCTGATTATGCATGACATATTAACTAACCAATAAGGGTCAATATTCTATTGGAATATTTACCTTTTCCTAATGTTCTGGCCATCAACATTAGGTAATCCGACTGCTCTTTATTATCAACTTCAGCAAGTCGCGCATCATGTCCACGACAGCTGTTCTGTGAACAAAACATTTTTGATAAACATGTATATTGCAAATTAATATAACGATCATTAAAGATTTAGAATCTTCTAACAGTACATAAAATAAAGCCATGCATGCTGCTTCTTCTTTGGGTAAACAATTCATCGAGCGTCGTTACATTTTCTACGAATTGTTTCCATTCGGCACACCTCGGCAGATTTAACGATCTAGGGTTTGAGAATTTGAATTGTTTCATTAACTTCATTGGTTTCTTTTTTTTTTAGTTTGATAATACGAAAGGTTTTCTGTATTTTTTACCAATTGAATACAATTGATTTCCTGAATTTTTTTAAGGGTTTTATAATGTTTTGAATTATGAAAATTTCAACCAGTATTATGGGAGTAGACTTTCATTTGATTTAAGTATTAAAAATAATAGTATTTATTTTAAATTGGCATTCATTTTAACAAACAAAAAAAAAACAAAAAACACTCTTTCGAAACTTTGGTTGTCAGTAAGACATATGCAAAGAAAAATATCTAGAGAATTAAAATTATCAGTCAAAATGTTTTCTACAAAGATCACCTGTCCTTCAACTTTCATTTGATACCTAAATTACCAAAATATATTCTACATAGTTTGATATTTACATCTATGCGTAGGAACTATTTTGTTTTAAATACGTACTACTTCCAGTATTTTCTTTTTTTCGACCGGGCCCGATTTGGTGGTGTTACATCTTATAAAGTCTATCCGAAATTTTTGCAAAGAATTCCGCTCAAGCCGGTGCTATGAGCCGTCTTAAACTTGCATTAAGGTGAGAGGTTTTTTTTTCTCTGTTTTGAAGGTCGCATAGTGACTTTGAGATGAAGAACAGCAATAAAAGTGCTGTGTCTTTGCTTTTTGCGGTTTTATTTTTGCTGTGCATGTACTGATTTTGTGTCATTGATGGCTACCCCATATCCTTTGTTTTTCTATTAGTGAAAACAGAAATATGCTGTATAAGTATAATATGGAGATAATGCTTTTACATGTGATCTTACTCTGCTGTTAAACACCCTACATTTTAAGTCCCTCGTCTCAAATTTTAATGAAAAAATGTTACACTACAAGTCTATACACAACATGATCGGTATTGATGAGTGTAACTGTCCATAAGTAGCTAATATAAGTAATTATGTGTGTAAATCTTTCAGATGTTTCGTGCTTGCTTGTCTCTTTAGAATGATACTGTCAATTAGTTTAATTTATTGAGAGACTCTAGGAAATCCGTTACGAGTGTTCTTTCTGATTTTTTTTGTTGAGTTGCCGTATTCAACCAGCAGTAATGTGTTGTTGCTAAAGGAGCTAGCTTCCTGTGGTAGCGAGCACACTTGACGTCACTCGGTTTCTTAATTATGTACGTGTCGTTATTTACTTCCTTGTTTAAAAAAAATCGAAAACAACAATTAATAAATTTCATGCGTCCGACGCGCTTTTCTGGATTAACTTCATCAAGAAGGCTCAAAATCGAATATTTGAAAGCCAAGGATGTATAACATGTATAAGAACCGAAACAGCTGAAGAGCTATAAGTATATAACCCAAAAAAAGACTAAAAATGAAAGCCATGTCCAACTTAGGTCAACTTTGCCTGAGGGAGTTGAAAACTTTTAAATTTCTTACTCATTTCTAATCTGATATACGGAATATAGATAGAAGTAAAATGTAAATGACTGCAAATAAAATAGGAACACTTACTTGAGCATTTAGCCAATTATAATTGTCAGTGCTAAAGAAATAACATGATAGTCCATAATGATGCCATCCATATGGACATTCAGCATTCACATTTCCTAAAATAGTTTCTCTCAATTAAATAAATGCGAATCAATTTCAAATAAACATTTCAATTATACTGTACAGTTGCATCATTTTTCTCCAGAATCAGTTATTACCTTTATCATAATATATAATATATCAAAATAATAATTGTTATTCCATATTGATAGAACTTTAGTAGGTTTTTCTATATGAATGGGATTTTGAATAAATAAGCATATTCACCTGCGGAAAAAGTATATTCACCGCGCAAAACGTCGCGTGCTTTTACGTGTATAATAACGATACAATGTTTGACGTTTAGTTGGTTTTGGTAAATAACTGTTATTTTAAACATATTTTTCTCTCTCGGAACATGGAATAAAACAATTACTGTCTTTTGTTTCGGTAAATACGTGGTTTAATTGACTTTTGAAAAACCTAGTGACATTCACTTCGGCCATTGGCCTCAGTGAATATCAGTTTTTCAAAAGTCAATAAAACCACACATTTACCTCATCAAAAGACAGTAATTGTATATTATTTTATGTTTCTTTGAAGGATGACGTTGACAGATACAAAACATGAAATTCTAGAAAACCGACTTTTCACAGTAAAACTGTAACTCTACAGGATATTTTACTTTTGAGCAGACAACGTCCAACTTTAATAGTTTAACTAATTTGTCTATTAAGTATACTAGACCTTCAAAATCAGATTTTTTAACTCCTAACTGTATATATTATCTATTGATTGTGTTTATTTGTATTATACATGTACATCTACAATCTTACCCAATAAAATAATTGCTGTGCATAAACAAAAAGCTGCAAATAAATATGTAGACATTGCAGTCACAATCACTTTCCATTTATTCCTCTTATCTATTATGCTTATCGGTCAGCACTATATTTTTGCAATCTTAAAATTTGGTCAACAGGTACGATTCTTATTTATAAGTTTCTTTCGATACATGAAGATTAATTTCTTCTTATCTAAGTAGACGACTTCGTATAACTATGGGTTTAGATAACGGACTAAAGGAAAAATATCGATTATGTATTTTATAAAATTACAAATGTAGTGAAAAATAGATTTTATCTCCAAGAATTACATGTTATTAGAAATTATCAAAATAAAACAACGAAAGTTTTTCTTGAAATTATTTTTTTTTTACTTTACATCTTTCTGGTTTTTCTTTACATCTCATTTTTTGAATTCAACAATCATGACAATTACTATTCAATTAAGTATATTTTTGGCTGAAAGACGAATCATTGGGTTTCGTTATGCTTTCATTTCGTATAAAACAACAAACAACCTAATCCGTATGAAAACAACGCATGTCGTAATTAAGAAAGCAACCTAAGATTATAGAATTATTAGCTTCGCCTACCTAATGAATCTATAAACACAATTTTTCGCATTGTTCATTTTCTTCATGCAGAGGATTATTCTTTAAAAAAAGTCTCAAATTTGATTCATTTGAAAGCACTTGACCACATATCTTGCAATATGGATGATTGAACAAATGTTTAACAATAAATTATTATCCCATAATTATATGTACAATAGTGAATATTTTACGAGCTATCTACTTTGAAATCGACATCTTCTGATCTTAATGTGTATTTTATGGAACGCCATGACTGTCTTCTGATGTTGATTGTTTAATATGTTCGGTGCTTAATGCATTATGTTTAGTAATATTTATATTTTGTTCAGTAGTTTTCATATTATGTTCAGTAGTTTTGACATTATGTTCAGTAGTTTTGACATTATGTTCGGTACTTTGGTTATTATGTTCAGTAGTTTCATTATTATATGCAGTGGTATTTAAATTATGTTTGGTACTTCTAACGTTATATTCAGTGCATTTTTCATTATGTTCAGTATTCGACATTATGTTCAGTAGATTCAATATTATTTGCAGTACATTATGTATTACCTTCAGTGGTCCCGGTTTCTTTATATTCGGGGATTATTCATTATGTTCAGTAAAAGCATCAGTATTATACTCGGTTCAATGAACTATATGTTCAGTAGTTGTATCATTATGATGATTCATTAAAAATTGGGAAATCAATAACGGAAATTGTCGGAAAAAAACGAACGCGGACATTTTTGACGGACGTTTTCTTCATGGACACTTTTACGGGATAGAATGAAAATGGAAGAAATGGAAGCAGTATTAAATTGGTTTGGTTTACGTTCCTACGTTGGCAATTTTCACAAGGAAAAAAATACTCCTGACTTAATTTGTAAGATGTCATGATTGATTGATTGTTGTTTTCTGAACGTATAGTGGCAAATATTTCACGCATATTTATGACGGAGAGAAGAATTTTTAAACAAAAGATAAGAAGTTGCATGTGTTGTCGTTGATACACTATGACCATAGAGAGACGACAAAAAGACAAACAGCCAAAAAAATTAATATAAAAACATATTCTATGGTTTTTGTATTCCTAGAAGGTAACCCTTTATGATGGTTGGTTGTAGCATACTAATCTCATGCACCGACTTACCGACTTTTAAGAGACCACCAACAATCTCCTTCTTTAAATATCAGATATTTATTTGAAATAACCTAAGATATATGAGGTTGTGGATGAGGTTTACAGAATAGAGAATAATGCCCCTACCCCCAAAAAAGAGAAGGTGGGCAAAAAATAAAGAATAGAGAATAAAGGAGTGCTTTAAAAAAAATGTTTAAAACTTTGGAAAAAGGTAAAAAAAAAAATGATTACAGAATTAAATGATTAACAGAATAACTAAACTTTTTTCTGCATACCGAATTTATTATTGATATGGAATGAAATGTTGAACTGTTAGTAATCAGAACTGGTTATTTGATGTTACCATACAAATTATGTACATTCGATATTTTCATCGAAAATCAAGATCTTGCACGAGTTAACAAATCTTGACGTACTATTTCGTCCACTATTGCAGACAAAGATAATCTTACATTCTTCTCCTGCATTGTGTCAGAAATTATTACAACAATGATAAAACAGTTCGTGATAGAGTTCAGACAAAAATGACAGCAAAAAGCTCTGCAATAGCAAAAAAAAAAAAAACAGAAAACAACTAGTCATAAATTTCATACATTCAAAGAGCTACATTGAAATTTATGCTGGTATGCAAGGGTATAGAATGAAATATTGTACAAAGTGCTACAAACAATGAACATTGAGTATCAGTATGATTGTCATTTTAAAATCATTTATTAAGATTTTTAATCTTCCAAATTCAAGCTGTATACACAAAAACTAACTAGGTCTAAGTGTAAATATGATTACCATAGACTGTCTATTAGACAGGTAATGGATATCAAAATACAAAGTGCAAAACTTTAATTGTGTGCAAATTTTCACCATTTCTGTACAGTTATGGTTATTATTTTAAAGTAATGCACAAAACATGACCCATTTTGTTTAATAAGAGACTAGAAACTACCCAAACCAATAACTTACTATCTGTACTTGAACAGAGCGTTTAAAAACATATTTCTGGATTTAGTCTCTAGATCCACCAAAGATAGCCAGAATGAAGAGGAATAGATTGACAATATCCAGATACAGGTTCGAGGCTAATCCGTGTTACCATGAATTTTCATTGATATGGTCATATTTATGAATCAACTTTCTCTATTCTGTAAACCTCATCCACTACCTCATTTATCTTGGGTTATTTCAAATAAATATCTGATATTTAAGCGCCTATTAGCGGGGTAGGATGCAGAATACTATAGGAGTATCTACAAGGAGATTTTTCGTGGTCTCTTAAAAGTCGGTGCATGAGATTAATATGCTACAACCAACCAACAAAAAGGGTTACCTACTAGGAATACAAAAGCTACAGAATATGTTTTTATATTTTATTTTTTGCTGTTTGTCTTTCTCTCTATGGTCATGGTGTATCATCGACAACGCATGCAACTTCTTATTTCTTGTTAAATATTCTTCTCTCCGTCATAAGTATGCGTGAATATTTGCCACTGTACGTTCAGAAAACAACAATCAATCAATCAATCATGACATCTTACACATTAAGTCAGGAGTATTTCTTTTTCCTTGTGAAAATTGCCAACGTGTCAACGTAAACCAAACCAATTTAATACTGCTTCCATTTCTTCCATTTTCATTCCTGATCCCGTTAAAGTGTCCATGAAGAAAACGTCCGTCGAAAATATCCGCGTTCGTTTTTTCTGAAAATTTCCGTTATTGATTTCCCAACTTTCACTGCATCATCATAATGATACAACTACTGAACATATAGTTCATTGACCCGAGTATAATACTGATGCTTTTACTGAACATAATGAATAATCCACCGAATATAAAGAAACCGGGACCACTGAAGGTAATACATAATGTACTGCAAATAATATTGAATCTACTGAACATAATGTCGATGGTACTGAACATAATGAAAAATGCACTGAATATAACGTCAGAAGTACCAAACATAATTTAAATACCACTGCATATAATAATGAAACTACTGAACATAATAACCAAAGCACCGAACATAATGTCAAAACTACTGAACAAAATGTCAAAACTACTGAACATAATATGAAAACTTCTGAACAAAATATAAATACTACTGAACGTAATGCATAAAGCACCGAACATATTTAACAATCAACATCAGAAGACAGTCATGGCGTTCCATAGTATTTCAGCTATATCGTGTGATACACCGGGTAATTGATTTCACGTGAAATGATACTGCTTTCAACTCACAAGACAATTTATGTCGAAGTTTTGTTTTAAAAGTTTTACTTTCAGATTTATAATGAGAACAACATATATATTTTTGTATTCTCGAAAATCTGTAAATATAAGTTCTTCGTCACAGACACTTTCAGCCAAAACTGTATGTAGGTTAAATCAGGCCGTTAGTTTTCTCGTTTTAATTGTTTTACATTTGTCATTTCGGGGCCTTTCATTATAGCTGACTATACGGTATAGGTTTTGCTCATTTTTGAAGGCCGTATGCAGATCTATAGTTGTTAACTTCTGTGTCATTTGGTCTCGTGGGGAGTTGTTTCATTGGCAATCATACTAAATCTTCTTTTTTTTATATAATAGATTACCAACAAATTAATTGAAATTTTCATCCTAAAATAATCTCCACACACAAATTTGTGTTTTAAGTCATAAGATTAATATAAGCACTTGTTGCTTGTTTCTGAATCCTATTTGCTACAATGTGAAGTTATATTTTATAAGATGTATTTAATTCATAATTAAATATAGTTTACACTAAAATGTATTTAGTTGGTTGCTGTAGTTTTTATTTTTGTTATTTTTTTTGGGGGGAAGGGAAAACGGGGGGGGGGGGGGGGATAAACTAAATACACTAAAGATACATGTACCTGAATTATTAATATTTTATTAAGTTAATACAAATTACAACTTTCAATATATTTTAAAGATACTATTGATAAGGATTACACGCGTGCACAAATACATGTTCAATTTAAAAAAAAAGACATGTGGTATGATTGCCAATGAGATAACTATCCACCTGCGTTCAAATGAAGTAGATGTAAGCAACCATAGGCAACCGTACGGCCTTCAACAATGAAAAAACCCATTCTTTATAGTCGGCTATAAAAGGCCCCTACATAAAAACGGCCTAATTTATAACAAAACAATTTACGAAAGACAAATATGACAGACATGAATCAACGAATACCACTGAACTACACGCTCCTGACTTGGGACAGGCACAAAAAGAATATGGCGGGATTAAACATGTTTGTGAGTGCTCAATCCTCCCTTAACCTGGTACAGTGGTGTAACAGCACAACATAAGAACAAACGGTAAAAATCAGTTGCAATTGGCTTAATCCAAAAGATCGGTACGAGATACAAAACGAATAACATAAAAACAATAAACGCAATACACCGAAATAAGAGTACTCGCAGTTACTGAAAGCTAATTCAAAGCCAATCACAACTAATATATCAACCATGTTATTTCTTATGATAAAGAATCTTGCAATCTGATTGGTTAATTACCTGGTGTAGATAACATCCTACCCAGTTCACCCGGGGATAACATTTTTTTTTCAAAAATTTCCAAAAAATAAAAAAGTTGTCGAAATAATTCAATAAAACAATATTGCTAAAAATCGAGAATTTTTTTTCAAAATTACAAAAAAAAAACCAAACTTTCAAATTGGCACATATTCAAGCCTGCATGCCATGACGGCTACTTTTGTCTGGAGTGAAGCTGTGCAGCGCATCCTTGACAACCGGACGTTATCAACAAGCAATCAACAATTAAAACCATTGACAACGTCAATAGTTATTGCTGAGAGTGAAGGGAAAAATGTGTTCCAAAGTAACCTGCGAAAAATGCAACAAGCCTACATGGTCAGGTAAATACAATGTAAATTAAATGTATAAAACAACGAATATTGATTGAAGACTCTACATTTGTAGTCTGTTTTAAAAAAAAATTGAAACAATGCCGTGTGTAATTCTTCATCAGTTTTGGATATTTCTCTTATTTACATATGAATATACTATAGTGAGCACGAATTTTGTTCCGAGGTTTTCTAAAGTGACAAGAATCCGTTATTTTCAAAATTAAACATCAACATACAGCTCTCAAAATAACGGCAAAATTTAAGTGTTGCGCTGGTTCGAGTGGTCTGCTGTAATGTCCAATAATTTTTGATATTCCTATTATCCTTTTAGTGTATTTCTAAATTATAATGATTTTAATCAGTTCTCAAATTATAAGACTAACATCAGCCACTGTTGTCGACAAAGAAAGCAGCAGAATATTGTATATAAATAGAAACCTTGACGAGTTCTTTTTCCATTTCGAGATTTTTATAGAGTTTTACCGAATACATGTACATGCGACAGTCAAATTCCCTTCGACGCAGATAACTCTTCATGTAGTACATTACTGCAACAGATATTCTTATTGTAATGCATTCTAAACAAACCTTAAGTTATTCATTTGAGTTTTTTAAAAAGGTATCTTCAATATATCAACTCTTATAATTGAACACATTTGACTTTCAACTGTTTTTTTGATGATATCTCATAATTACGATAACTTTGATAGGGGGTAAAAATAAGATGTGGCATGATGGCCTGTAGGACAACCATAAACCAGAGATCAAATGGCGTAAAAGGTTAGAAACTATAGATCACCGTACGGCCTTCAACAATGAGCAAAAACCCATACGGCATAACAAGCTATAAACGGCCCGAAATGACAACTGTATAACGTTTCAAACGAGAAAACCAAGGTCCTGATTTATGTACAAATCAATTCAAAAGAAAAAACAAATATGATTTACAGCAACAAAAGGCAACTACTAAATTAAAGGCTCCTGACTTGGGACAGGAACATACAGAAAGAGGCGGGGTTAAATAAGTTTGTGGAGGCGGAACCCCTTCCCGAACCTAGGACAGCGATAACAACACAACACTATAACAAACTATAAAATCAGTTGAAAGACCTTTTTGATTGGCTGACAACAATCGCAAGGCATTCCAAATTTGTTTTTTTTTTTATTTCTCAAAATATTATTCAATATTCATGACTGCATGTGCTTCCAATGACTACGTCACAACAATGCATGAAAAACCTAAACGCTCGAATTATTCATTTTATTCATGGTTGTAGCATATATACAAATGTAATTATGAAAATTAAATGCTCCTTTTTGTAATTTTTTGGGGTGTAAAAGTGTTGATCATGCGCACAAGTTTTTGTATGAAGCGCTCACGCTTTATACTAAATGTGCTTTAGCCAACTTTATTTTTATAGCATTTATTGTACAAGTGTAATTCCTCATATTTAAGTAATTATTTTGTGATATAAAAAAAGAAGATGTGGTATGATTGCCAATGAGACAACTCTTCACAAGAGACCAAATGACACAAAAATTAACAACTATAGGTCCCGTACGGCCTTCAACAATGAGCAAAGCCCATATCGCATAGTCAGCTATAAAAGGCCCCGAAATGAACGAAAAACAAATATGTAACACACCAACAAACGACAACCACTGAATTACAGGCTCCTGACTTGGGATAGGCACATACATACAGAATGTGGCGGGAATAAACATGTTAGCGGGATCCCAACCCTCCCCCTAACCTTGGACAGTGGTGTTACGGTACAACATAAGAACGAACTATAAAAATCAGTTGAAAAAGGATTAACTCATCAGATGGATACAAATAGAAATACATCTAACAAAAACACAGAGTGGACTTGGCCGGGTACTTGTACATCACAACAACAAAAAGAAACTAAGTACAGATCTGAAAGTACTCGCAGTTACTGACAGCTAGTTCAAAGCCAATAGCATATTTTCCGACTTTGTTTTTGTTGTTTTTTTTTTCTGTTTGCTTTTATCAAATTGCATTTTTTTCCCAGGTTGTGGAAAACATATTGAACAGGCTTTGAAGGATGTGCCGCCAGAACAAAGATGTAAATGCCCGAGAGAGTCAAAATAATGGTGAGGTTTGTGTTTTATCTGCTCCAACTAAACGTCTAATTTTGGAATATTTCAATATTCTATTTTTCATTTATTGAAAAAGCCCCATCGCTAATGTTACCTGAAAGAAAGAAAATAATGAGGGTTTTGTATAGAATATAAACAAGATTGAACTCATCTATACGAAAACTTTAGGTAAATGCATTCTTGATGGTCAGCAATTGGGTACGGCGAATAATTTACAAGAGATCGGGTTAGGGTTAAGTGTTAAGTTTGACTTCGAATTTGCATTTAGATCTAAGTCAATACATAAGAAAGAGATCGGATTAAAATCTATAGCTGATTGAATTTAAATTAAAGGTATACGTCACCGAGACAGCAATCTAACAACATAAACATCCGAACAGCAACAAGAGGTCAACATACAGTTTATATCAATAGATAGATCTTTTTACAAAATTCAAAACTGCTTCAGAATCTTAAAACAAATCTGAAAGAAAAAAAGAAAACAATAAAAAATCTGCATCAACACCAAATGCTTTAATTAGCAACTGATGATGTTCCTAGCATCGGACGGACACATACATACGTAACAAGATTTGATAGCATTTTGAGATATCAGCCACACCATTTTAAATCTTATATTATTTGCATATTTACAAATACTTGAATGTGATTGGTCCTTTCGAATTGTTTTCCTTGGTTTACACTTCGTTCGACCATGTTGCCGAAACTACTTTCGCAACCTATGAAAACATTATGTCGATTTAACTGTGATATATATTTATTCGCCAGGTATGTGAATGAAATCCTGGGTTCAAAGTTTAAGAGAAAAAAAAACCAAATGTTTGGGTTGAGAATTGTAACGACTAAACATATTTTAAAGAGGTTACTGATATGTAAACTGGTTCGCTGAATCAAGAACTTGACATCAAGCAGACTTTCATTAAGTTTTTGAGTTAATCGGACCACACATAATAAATAACTTCAAAAAACAAATGTGTTTAATCCTAAATTAATCTCGATGAGTAGTATAATAAAAGTTTATAAAAAAACGTACAATTCAGGCAAACTAGCGTTAAATACAAGAAGAAGAAGTTCAAAAAAATATATCATTGCACAAACATTGTCATTATTATTTGAAAACAAATTTGAACTCTGACCTTTATATTCAAACTCGAAGTCCAACTCGAAAGTTTAACTCGAAGTTTAACTCTATTGACTTAAATTTCCGTCGACTGCATTTTTTTTTTTATAATTTCAGGATTTTTTTAATGAATGACATTGGTTATTAGAGAACAGAAAGCAAGAGATAGTTATTTTATATAAACACGTCTTTTTATTCATATATCCATTAATAATAAACATACTTCGTTGTTAATAATATTATTGTTTATCTAAACAAAATGAAAAAAAAACATCAGTAATTACGAGAAGTGGAAAGACCTTTTGATTTTGTTCTGATTATTTTTTTATCTTCTGCCGTCTGAGATTTTTTTGCTACTTGACATATCGAACGGATTTTTGACCCATGATATTGTACAATGATTACGATTTCCCCATTCACCCTGCGTGACCAAACACTTTTTCTTATAGGAGTTATCTCCCCACAATCCCTTTTCTTGTTATCTTTATTTCTCTGAAACCGTAAAAGATGTCGACACATTTTTTTCCAAATTGTTCGTATAGTCTTAAGGATGTTTTGGTTATGTTACACCGAAGTAATCCTATGACATCTTATTGGAGTTATTTCCCTTTTCAAATTGACAAAGGTGATATGTTGAATAAATTCATACACCACAAGTCATAGATACCTAAAGTGTTTTGATATGAAGTCCTTGGTCCATTTGGAGGAAATTGAAGTCAAGGTAAAAGGTCAAGGTCATGTTCTTAATTTTGATTTTGCTTGTTATCTTTATTCCGAAGAAACCGTAACAGTTAATGATGAGATGCTTTTGCCAAATAATTGTTTACGACATGGAGCAATGTTTTGGTGACCCTTTATAGGAGTTTTCTCCCTTTATATATTTAAAATCAGTAAAACTCCTCAATCATACAAGTGAATGGTTTGGGGAATATCGATATGAGATCACTGACCTATGACCTTGAAATTAGGCTCAAGGTCAAAGGTCAATTTGACGTTCTAGATTTTGACCTTTGCTAAAATTGACTCTACATATAAATCAAAAACCTTCATAACTAAACGTTTATTTTATTTTACACAACTGGAATATGCCTTAATTTATACTTTTTTCAAATTATCTTAAACTTCCGTTTTAACCGCCTTTAGCCACTTGTCGTTCCATGTTTTCGTTTTTGTTTGTTGAGATTGTTCTTTAGATACATTCTAACTGGAAGGTAGTCCTTCTGTGTTTTTTTTATCGACGGTAGCCTAGTTTGAAGACGATCTAAAAAGATGGAACCTAAATGGAATTGAATTTCGAATGTTGCCTCCTTCTTGACAATCAAATTGTTGCCACTTTTAAAGTATTGCACGTCTGATTCAACTACACAAATGAACAATAAAATTTAGCTTTTGTTTTTTTGACTTTTTTTCTGAGGATTAACAATTCACAGAGAACTTTTATGTGTATTTCTGTGAGGAAATAATTAGGTTGAAAGAACAGAATTAAGGTGACTTGAAATGATTAGTAAATACTGTTATGTGAGATTAACCATTTAAGGTTACCAAAAGACGTAACCAGGTTTGCTCGGATGTTGTGTTATATGACGGAATCAAACATTTCTACTGAGATGTAATAAGCCCTGGATACCGAAGATAAACAATCGGAATAATAAAAAAAAAAAAAAAAAAAATTACAAAGCAATCTTATATTATTTATTACCCGGGTGTAATTAGCACCTCACACAAGCTTAACTAGTTTAACACCCGGGGATTAAGAATAACCAACCGCATTTAATAAAGCGCACAAAAGATTACGAGTCTCAGTGAAAAAGGTATCTACGTTTTGGCAAAAATCACGACAGAGATATTATAAGTTATATGGTTTGCTACTGACTCACTACGGATCCATAGAGGATTAGTAAAATTCATCAGGGTGAGACCGAAGGCCGAATCCCCTATGAATTTTACTAACCCTCTATGGTCCGTAGAGGGTCAGTAGTGAACAGTATAACGAATTTATCGTACACGGGACTTTTCATGTCCCGTTTTGTAGAAGAAAAAAAACAACGAAATTCAATAACATCAATAGATTGCGTCACCATTAATAGTAAACGTGACGTCATGAACCCCATATGAAATCTACTGACCACATACGGATTCATAGGGGTCACCACGTGACGGCGTTAAACCAATCATAACGTCATAATTTATCAGAGGTGCGATAAAGATAGATAGATAGATTTATTTGATCAAATAACATCATAAAACATCACAAAAGTAGTATAAAACAATAGCAGACAAGTTAAAATACTAAAATCATAAAACAATTGATGATACCTAATCAGGATTGCCCATGAAAGCCATACGGCTTATATATATACTTATTTCCAATAGGGTTCCTTTATGTTACATTTTTAAACATATTGAATATAGTTATATAAGAAATCATGACTTTGGCAGGTTTTATGTTAATTATGTTAAAATTATAATTTACGATGACTTTGACTATTCAATAAAATAAAAATTTGCTATTAAAATCGTTGCTTTCCTTTTTTGACAGAAAATCTTTAACACCAGATTAGTAAGATTCAAAATATTTGTTGCTCTTTAATTCATTTGGCAACACATTCCAATCCTTTATAGCATTATAATAAAATGTTAAAGCCTGGTGCCCTTTTATAGGTGGTATAAAAAATTATATTCACTAGATCTTGTTGAATAATTATAATAAAATTGAGAATGGAAATGGGGAATGTGTCAAAGAGACAACAACCAAACCATAGAACAGACAACAGCAGAAGGTCACCAACAGGTCTTCAATGCAGCGAGAAATTCCCGCACCCGGAGGCGTCCTTCAGCTGGCCCCTAAACAAATATATATACTAGTTCAGTGATAATGAACGCCATACTAAACTCCAAATTGTACACAAGAAACTAAAATTAAATAATACAAGACTGACAAAGGCTAGAGGCTCCTGACTTGGGACAGGCGCAAAAATGCGGCGGGGTTAAACATGTTTATGAGATCTCAACCCTCCCCCTATACCTCTAGCCAATGTAGAAAAGTAAACGCATAACAATACGCACATTAAAATTCAGTTCAAGAATTGAACAATCTTTCATCTTAGTTAAATTTCCTTGCATGTAGTAAGGGGTTTTGTTTTGGAATATTTTATATACATGGTTGAGTCTTAGTTATTTGACTCTATTTTTCTACATTCATACAACCAATGCTATTTAGTACATTAAAGTTTACAGAAGTTCTATTTCCCATATCTTTAATAAATCTAACAGATTTATTTTGAAGTTTTGAAATATTTTTTAACTAGTTTTCAAACTTTTTACACAAACAAGAATACCACGCTGAAAATGCATAATCCAAATGGCATTGCTATATATAGTTTTTCTAGAGTTTTCTGATAGACATCGACCATGTATATAAAGGAACTTCAGTCTTGCATTCACTTTTTGTAAAATATTACTGACAATAATTCCCCTAGACAAATATCTGTCTATGTTTAGGCCCAAGTATTTTACACAATCTTGAGCTGGAATAATATGTTTATTGCAGCTGACTTGAAAATTTTCAACCTTTTCAAGTTTGCGTTTTGAACCAAACAAAATACTTTCAGTTTTGCCCAGATGAAGGGATAATTTGTTATCAATTAACAGTTGACTGCAAGACTGGGGTCCCTTTCCAAGTTTTTCAGATATTACCCCCGGGTTCTCACGTGAAAATAAAATTGTGCTATCATCAGCATATAATAATAATTTACAATCGGAACTTATACTTATAGACATATCATTTACATAATACAAAAAATTAAAGTGGACCCAAAATACTACCTTGAGGTACTCCACATGTAACTGTTTGAAAATTAGATTCAAAGCCATT